AAATGAATATTCCTCTTTGATGTTTTAGAGAATTATACAATTTCTCTTTCCTAGCCTATTGTAAGTCCTTATAAGGAGCTTGGATTAGCGGGGGAAGGGACTACATCCACATTTGGTCCCATGAGCGTGCATGTGTGGGTGCGTTGCATGTGCTCAGACTCACTCACTCTGCCCCTGTCCTTATCTGTGCCTTTTCCTCTTCACTTATGCCTCATGCTTCGTTTCCCCCTTGAGTTGACCCTTCCTCCCCTACCAACTTAGCTTCTTCAAGTTCTTGATCTAAAATGGTAAAGCCATCACGGTGTTTGCCTACCAGGACCACACTTCCTGCTTTAAATTTATGTATTTCAGCTAGTCCAGTGGTTTTCAATACCCATTTGACCAGAAATACATTTTCTGTACATCTGTATATATGCATGCATACACATATGCACACACACAGTCCATGAAAAAATTATTCCTTTTGTTATGTGCATTTCATATCCACTCTGCCACTTTGTTAATGGTCTTTATGATCCCAAACTGACTTTACAGTCCACTGATGGGTCATGACCAAAAGTGTGAAAAACATTGACCTAGGCCAGTGATATTGATGGCAGGTGAAAAGAAAAGAAACTGTTGAATTCCCTCCATTTAAAGGCACTGCTCATTGTTAGATACTTCATGGGTTGAATAACCACTTTTTAGAAAAAAGAAATACAGTGCCCTTTAAGTGTACCTGGTGGATGTAAGACACATCCCTAATTTAGAAGTGTTAAGATGTGGGAAAGTTTGGGTGGTAGAACCGGAGAAGTGGAAGGAGAGGCTTTGCTTGCTTTGTGCTGGGCAGTGCTCCCTGTGGACTGCATGGTGCATCTGAGTTCCTGATAGTCTTGCAGGGTAATAATTATGGGTTAGAGTAAACATATCACTTTTTTCAGAATACAAAACTAGTAAAATCCAGGATCCTGTTCCTCTAAAGCCCACATTGTTGTAATGATCTGCCCCTGTGGATCACATCACTGTGGCTGAAGTGTT